CTGCCAAGGAGCTAGGATTACAGGCGTGAGCCGACAGCGCCGGCCTTGTTTGACCGCTATTTAATTGCTAGCCAAGCGATAATAAAATTCCAAGCGTATCAGAACAGGGCTGAACGAGACGTTTCCCTATCATGCTAAAGAAATTCCAATTCCAGATATTTTTTTTCCAGATTTTTTTTTTTTTTTTTGAGAAGAGCTCTTCACTCTATTGCCAGCGGGCTAGAGGTTGCTGGTGGCGTCAGCGGTAGCTCACAGCAACCTCACACTCCTGGGCCCAAGCGATCCTCCTGGCCCTCAGCCTCCCAGTTAGCTGGGGCGACTACAGGCGCTGCGGCCACCGATGGCCCGGCTAATTATTTCTATATGTATTAGTTGCGCCAATTAATTTCTTTCTATATTGTATAGTAAGACGGGTCTCGCCTTGCTCAGGATGCTTCGGAACTCCTTCGAAGCCCGCTCGGAGCGATCTCCTCCCGCCTCGGCCTTCCCAGGGGAGTGCTGGGGATGACAGGCGTGAGGCCACCGCGCGTGGCCCGGCCGGAGGATCGTTTTTTTTTTTAAATTCTCCGTTAATGCAAAATGGATTGTCGCTGGGCTCATTTAACCATCGGCATGGGGCTCATCAGCAAATTTTGGAAATGAGGCCCAGGACCGCTACCTTGCCTCTGGCAGCCCTGGCCTTAGATCAGACCTAAATCACGTGGTTGGATTTTTCCTGGCCAAGTTGGCCCGGCCGCAGCACTTTGCCACTCCATGGCAGAAAATAAAAAGACACATCTAAGACATGGAAGACTTGCCTGGGGTTGCTCGGCGCACTAATCCGCGAGTCCGTTTTTGCCAACTTTGGGTCCTTTGATGAGTTCCTCTTTCCGCATCGGACTCGAGACACGGTGTCATGCGAGATCAGGCCCAGGGCGAGCTGGTCCCCTGCTCTGGCGCCCAGAACTGTGCAGACGGGAGCCAGGGACCACCACCCAGTGAACGCTCAGAGGCTGCCTCTTTTTTCAAAATCGGGGTGTTTTAGAAATGGCAGTCTTGCTACGGTTGACCAGGCTGGGTCTCGGAGACTCTGCCTCCTCTGCCTCCGAAGTCCCTTAGGATGACAGCGCCTGGAGCCACCACGCCCAGCTGCAGCACTTCCCTTCCGCTGGGATGGTGCCTGCCCCAGCCACATGGGCGGCTGTGAAGTTCTGGGGATGGAACTTCTCCCAGCGATTTTCAGTCTTTCCTGGAGTTGGAAAGCAAATGCACTTTCCCCAGAGGGTCAACGGAGTTGACTTGCTCCGGCTACTAGTGCCGTGGCCGTCAGCCTCGCTCACAGCAACCTCAGACTCCTGGGGGCGGCGTCAAGCGATCCTCCTGCCGTCAGGGGCCTCCCGGGTAGCTGGGACTACAGGCATGCCGCCACACGCCCGGCTAATATTTCTACTTTTTGTAGAGACGGGGTCTCGCTCGTTGCCTCAGGGGCTGGGTCTCAAGCTCCTGAGCTCAAAGCGATGCTCCCG